CATCAATCCATCCATCATCAGTCCATCCATCATCCATCATCAGTCCATCCATCATCAGTCCATCCATCATCCATCATCAATCCATCCATCATCAGTCCATCCATCATCAGTCCATCCATCATCCATCATCAATCCATCCATCATCAGTCCATCCATCATCAGTCCATCCATCCATCATCAGTCCATCCATCCATCATCAGTCTATCCATCCATCCGTCCATCCATCATCAGTCCATCCATCATCAGTCCATCCATCATCAGTCCATCCATCATCAGTCCATCCATCATCAGTCCATCCATCCATCATCAGTCCATCCATCCATCATCAGTCTATCCATCCATCCATCCATCCATCATCAGTCCATCCATCCATCCATCCATCCATCCATCCATCCATCCATCATCTTTGTCAGGTTGTGTGGGCTGCAGCTTGAGCAGGGAGGCCCAGACCTCTCTTTCCAGCCACCTCTTCCAGCTCTTCTGGGAGGATTTCAAGGCGTTCTCAGGCCAGCCGAGAAAAATCTCCATCTCCAACATACTCCTCTTTCATCTCTTTTATTATTCCATTTTATTTTTATTTTATTTTTTATTATTTTATCTACTTTTATTGTTTGCACTTTGAGTTCTTCTTTCAGATATAAAGTGCGTTACAAATATAATCTATTATTATTACATGTCTTCAGGCATGTAGGCGGACATGCCTGAAGCACCTTCCTCTCGAAGTTGAGGAGCAGCAGCTCTACTCTTAGTAACTCTGAGATAATTGAACTTCTTATACTCTCTCTAAGGGAGAGTCCACTACGCTTTTGGGTCTATCGTGTCTGTCCGGCATCTTTCCCTGCCATCTGATCCACCTCACCACTAGGTGGTGATCGGTCGACTGCTCAGCTCCTCTTTTCACCTGAGTGTCCAAAACATGCGGCTTCAGATCTAGGGCTGCAACTAACAAATATTTTAATAATCGATTAATCTATTGATTATTTTTTGATTAATCGACCAAATCATTAAAACGCTTAATTACATGAATATGAGTAGATATAAAGTAAGTTAACTCCTTAAGGATGCAAGTTATTGATAATGAATTAATCTGAAGTTGATTTATCTTATAGATTGATTAACAATTAATTTAATAAGCAGCCATTTTTTAAAAAACCGGAGTTTTCTCTTGAATCAAGAGGGTCTTCCCATAAAATGAAGGATTTTTTTTATAATCTCCTGAATTAAAAAACAGAAGCACATAATACACGTTTTAACAATTTATTTTGCCAGCTGTATTCAATACTACTATTAAATAATAGCAAAATAACTGCTGTGAAGGTAAATTCTGCTCTGCAGATATTACACAGGTTTCTCTTTCATTTTCTTAAAATGATCCCACACTTTTGAGCTCTGTTGTCAGGTAGCCATGATACCAGAGCCTGTCTGTATAATGTCTTGTGACGTCCACGGCCTACACCAGTTACCACTACTGTGCATGTGTGTCAAGGACAGAAAGGCAGACGTGGCAGTGAAGGTGTCAAAGCAGTTTGGAGAGAAAAACAAAGTAAAGAACAAAAAAAAAAAATGATTAATCGATTATTAAATTAGTCATCAATTTTTTTTTAAAATAATCGATTAGTCATCGATTAATTGTTGCAGCCCTATTCAGATCAGGTGACACAACCACAAAGTTACAAACTTTGACCTATCTTGTTGCCACGTGCACTTATGGTCACCCTTATGTTCGAACACGGTGTTTGTGATGGACAAACCGTACAGAACAACATAACACCTCTCGGGTTCAGATCAGAGTGGCTGTTACACCCAGTAACACTGTCATTACCCATTGTGGGCATTGAAGTGCCCCACCAGAAAAAAGGAGTCCCCAGCACCTTCCAGCACCTCTAAGGACTCCAGGAGGGCCGGATACTTTGAACTGCCGTTCGGTGGTGCATAGGTCCAAACGACTGTCGGAACCCATCCCCCCCATCCAGCCAAGCTACCCTCTCATCTACAGAGCCAACACACAGTAGACCCACACCAGCTCAACGCCTCTCACTATGGGCAGCTCCAGAGTGGAGTAATGTCCAACTCCTCTCAAGGAGATCAGTTCAGGAACTCATGCTGTGCATCGAGGTGAGCCCAACTACATCTAGTCGGTACCGCTCAACCTCACACACAGTCTCAGACTGAGGCTGACGGGGCCTCATGGGTAGAGACACGGTCACCGGGTGCTCATGATGTGCACCTCCTCTAGGTCTGGGACCAGGGTTTGAGCAGTACGACGGCTCAGTGGTTAGCACCGACACCTCATAGGAAGAAGGTCATGGGTTTGATCCCCAGTTCGGACCTGGGGTCTTTCTGTGCAGAGTTTGCATGTTCTCCTCATGATTGCGTGGGTTTTTTCCGGGTACTCCGATTTCCCCCACCCCTAAAAACATGTACAATAGGTTACCTCCAGGCCTCCCTTGAAAAAGAGATCTGAGATCTCAATGGGACTTGCCTGGTTAAATAACGGTAAATAAATAAAATAAAGGGTGGGGCCCTGCTAACCCATGTCTGGGCAAGAGACATCAAGTTTCTTGAATTTTTTTCTCTGTCCATACAAGTGATTTGAATCGCTCTTTGAATGGCTTGTCTTCTGACCAGTTTGCCATGGGAGACCCTACCCAACAGCATTGATCCTGGGATCATTCAGACACAAAGACACCTTCACCATGATTTGTTATTCAACAGAGAATAACTGTCATTGAGTTATAATTAAACTTGCACACTGAATTATGTTTTTTTTTGTAAAGCCAGTTGATATCACTGGGAGTTAAAGTTGGATGACACATTCATGTCTTTGAGTGTACAAACATGTTGTATAAAGATGTGAATGAGCGATTCTAGTTAAGTATACTGTTCCAACATTAAAACACATGACTGACATTTCTCTTTGCACTGTGTGCAGATTACGAACATGTGCTGCAGCGGCTCGTTCAAGGACTGTCCGAGTCCGTGAAAAAATTCTCTAGCCAAGGCAACAGGGTGAGTGCAGAGTCAGGGTTGACTTCTAAATTCTTCAGACAACATGTGTTTGTTTTCTGTCAACATTTACACTCGTTTATAACCAGGATGCTGCTAAAGATGCACTGGGCAGGTTGAAGATGGTAGAAAGTGAGGTAAGGCCTTTTTAGCCGTTGTAAAAATACAACCCTAATTGTCATGAAAGTGAGAATTGTGGAAAATCTGGGGAAAAAGCGAATGCATTGAATTGCAGATCTCATAAACTCATTTAATTTACAATGGAACAGAGTAAATATATCAAATTTTAAACTTAATGGCAGTAACACAAAAAATAAAAATGAAATGGCAGAGATGCATCCAAAGGTTGGGTGTAGGGTCAACAAAAAGCTGTAAAAGTAATAGGTATATAAAAACAGCTAGAGGACAATTTCCCAACTACGTAGGTTAACTGTCAGTAAGAGTTCTGGGTAAAACACGAGAATTGAGAGTAGTTAAATCACTCATAAGTTAAAATGGGCAGAGGTGAAGTAGTTTGCAAAACACTGTGTCTGAACATAGTGGAACAGTTTTGAATGTTCCTCAATGGAAATTTGAAAAGTCTTTGAATATCCAATTATTTATATTTTGTAATATCATCAAAGGAGTTTGAGAACCTGTAAAAAATCTTTGAGCTCAAAGGACAAGACTGAAAGTCAAAGCTTGTAACCTTCGGTCCTCAGACAGGTCTGATCCCGTTCTGGGCTCAGGAGCACTTCACCAAACTATTTTCTGTAAACACAGTCCACCATGCCGTCCATAATTCTGGTTAAAGCTCTGTCATGCAAACATGTGAACACCATCTATAAATTGCGGCATCTGCTCTAGACTCAAATGAACTCAAAGTAGAACTGTTCTGTTGTCAGATGAATTAAAAATTTAAATAAAATTTAAAATATTCCCTCCACATTTAAACACCTCACAGCTCTGGTGTTGAAACAGCTCAGGTGTTGAAACAGCTCAGGTGTTGAAAAATCTCACAGGTCAGGTGTTGAAACAGCTCAGGTGTTGAAACAGCTCAGGTGTTGAAACAGCTCAGGTGTTGAAACAGCTCAGGTGTTGATACAGCTCAGGTGTTGAAACAGCTCACAGCTCAGGTGTTGAAAAATCTCACAGCTCAGGTGTTGATACAGCTCAGGTGTTGAAACAGCTCAGGTGTTAAAACAGTTCACAGCTCAGGTGTTGAAACAGCTCAGGTGTTGAAACAGCTCAGGTGTTGAAACAGCTCAGGTGTTGAAACAGCTCAGGTGTTGAAACAGCTCAGGTGTTGAAACAGCTCAGGTGTTGAAACCAGAGGTGGATGCCGGTCTTTCAGAAAGGGGAAGCTCAATTTCGGCCTGCATCATAAAATGTGTCGGTTTATTTATATGTAAATTCTACCCTCCGTTCCTTTTCAAGAAAATGATTTGTTACCCTGTCACAGATCATTTTACTGCACTTCAGTCAGCCAACTCATTTTGTCGTACCAGGACAGCTGAGAAGACTTGTTACTTTTCCCCACCTTTTGCACCAAATCAGTCTGAGGAGTTGATCAACTCTGCTGTTTAACTCTGTTTTCTTCATAAGGAAGATTTTCAAATGGCTTCTACAAAATCCAGTCCACAACATTCACACTGTCTGCCATTGTGTGCAGCTTGCTACTGCCGCAAGGCTAGTGTGAAGTGTGTTCGCCTGTGAGTGCTTTGTAACAGTGAAGGGGCTCAGCAGCACCCACTGGACAGAAACTGCGATAGAAGTCAGGAAGAGCTACAAAACAACCACCAGAAATAGAAGCTCAATTTGTTGCTAGTCGTTTTCAACAAAGAAAATGTTGCTAAAAGGATTAATAAAGCTTTTGGTTAAACTCAGAACAGAAATGAAACTAAAATGCTCCCATGGATGTTCACACCAAAAAGTCACTGATTCGCTCATTTCGCTGTCAATCAAAAAGAGACTCAGCCTCAGACAGATCATCCAATCATCATGCAGAAGCTGAGCGTCCGGGCCGGCCGAGGCCAGCCCCCTGCCCCATAGACTCCCAGAGACGCTCAGCATCTGATGGGCGGGACAAAATTAGCATTTATCCAATGACTCGTCTCATTTCACTGCACTCTTTGCTTCACTATTGAACTCTGTGGACGCTGAGCATCCTCACTGTTTAAAGCACTGTGAAGGAAAGCCGTGTCGTTATCAGTCATAAGAAGCTGATTCTGAACAAAAGTTGAGCGCATTGTAGTGCATATTTAGTCAATGACATACACACAACAGTATATATTTGATCACTTATTTTTTAAATTTATGGGGAAGCTGAGCTTCTTTTGCAGTCTTAGAGCAATCGCCTCTGGTTGAATCAGCTCAGGCACCACAGCATGCTTCCTTTCTCAGGGATTTTTCTCACTCGCATTATATTATTTGTCTAAATCTAGAAATCATTGTAACTTGCATCTATTTAACATATCTAAATGAAGGCGTGTCAGGGGAGGTGTCTCGTTCATTCAGTTTCATGTTGATTGTGATGTACAAAAGAAATTTGCGTGGATTCCGCCGTTTTCTGGATTTGACCATACGCCACATTTCAGTAAGAAATCCACGCAAGTCTTTGTACATGAGACCCCTGGTCTCTTCAGCTCCTGGACGTTTACTGATGGTTTCTTTAAAAAGAGGAGATACATTGTGGTGGTAACTGTGTTGCTGAAAAAAAAATCTAAATTATCCTAAATTTAAAAAATAGCATAAAACTTAGTCTCAACATTTGATGTCCCATTGCGATAAAAATGTGGGTTCATAAGATTTGACAATCATTGCATTCAGTTTTTAACCATCGTACATAATGTCAGAACTTTGTTGAAATTGGGGTTATAAAAAATTTTATATGCATGTATAAATGGTACATTGTGTAATTATTTTCTCTTGTTCAGCTTGAGTCACTGAAAAGAAAACGCACGGGATAAAAGAAGAACAATGAAGCAGAGGCTTGGCTGGAGGACCGTTCTCTCTCGCTCGTACACACTCGCTCTCACACAGACGCTACAGTGGCTAACACAAAGCTCCTGTTTTAGTCCAAGACGGCTGCATGACCCGGCCTGCTCACTCCTCACCTCTGCACCCCGTGTGCTGTCACCTCACCTGCCATGGTCACTTTATAAAACTGCAGCACGCAGATATTACAGAAAACATTTAAAGGTATGAAGAGCTGAAGACGATGCAGACATTTTTGCACTTGTACAAAATACAAACACTACAGAAATCTTAGTTTAAGCTGTTTTTTAAAAAAAAATTTACATTAATCTTTTGGGATTTATTGGGGAAGAAATCCATTGAAAGATTTTAGGTTTTACTTTTGACACCAGCTCTTTTGGTGACTAAAAATGACCAAAAATGTGTGTATGTTGCATGTGTGTGAGTACATGTTCTTAAATGTGTTTAACCGGTGAACTAAGGCGGTTTTAACTCTTTACAGATATTTTTTTGTGTGTGTGTATGTGTGTGTAATGAGCTTAATCTAATCTGTCTGCTCCAGTGTTCCCAGATTACAGTAATCTGCTTCATTTGGAGTGTTGTGATACGGGAATAACAGAAGAAGAAAAAAAAGCATAGCTTTGGGGTGCTAGAGCCTACATCCCATAATGCGGGATTAGTTTTATGTCGCCAAGGAGCTGAGTAGATCCAGACGTGGAGTCACTTTTCGGGGCTGTAAGGAGGCGTGTTCACACACAGCAGGTGTGTGAGCGCAGATTGTTGCTGCTGCTTCATCATCGGCCATTTTTCCGTCTCCTTCATCGTTACTTCAGTTATTTATTTACACACATTCAGAGATTATCCACTCTGTCCTGTGGAGATGTCCAGCAGCAGCACACAGACGCATCCGTCCACAACACGTCTCTGCAGTCTGAGTAATTGCTAATTTCCCTCTCAGACGTCCCTGCCAAAAACATCTTCTCTGGAATCGTTTTGGTGCTGGAGTCGAGCTACAAAAATAAAAGTAGACATCTTGAAACAACGCTATTTAACACGTCACCTGTTAGTCTGACAACTTGAAAGCAGCTTCATTTTTAGCCAGCCCGTTTATAACAGAGTACTTTATTTAAAATTTCCTGTAAACTTGTGTAGCCTTCGGATACTCTCTGGTTATTCTATTTATAGTCATGCAACGCTTCATCAGATAACTCTGTTTAAACTAATCTGCCACCGTTGCATAACAAGTAATCCTAGTTTAGGTTGGACCTCACTACTGCAGAGGTTTTATTAATGTAAAACTTCTTTTCCTTATTTCAGTTAAGACTGATTTTTTTTATATTGATATTAGTATTGTTAAATAGACAGGATAATTGAAAAATTTGCTTGGAATAACATGGAATCGTGGTTTAAAAACTCCAGTGGTCTGAAAAGTTAAATTTCTATAGTTTCCTTTTGGTAATGCTGTAAAGCAGGGGTGTCTCAGGTCTGGTCCTCGAGGGCCACTGTCCTGCAGGGTTTAGATGTTTCTCTGCATTGACACACCTGATTTGAATTAATGAGCGATTAACAGGCTTCTGCAGAAACTGAAGACCTGCTGAAGATCAAGGAAATAACTAAATCTGCAGGGTAGTGGCTCTTGAAGACCAGGGTTGGGAACCTCTGCCTCTGGCCTTCAGATCTAATCTCTGTACTCTTGCAGTTACTGATTTCTTTTAATTTCTGAGCGTCGCTGAAGTGAATTTGCAGGCTGTTAAAACTTGATTTGGAGCAAAATGAGTCCACTTTCCTGCCAGTCTTTGATGCATTAATGCAGAAGTGCAGCTTAAATGCTGATTACTCTGAAAAGCTTTGCATTAAGAGAGATTTAAATGACACAACTTTGATAAAGATGAATGCAGACTTGATGGATTACATAGTTTATGCAGCTTTCAAAAATCTTTTAGGTTTCTATGCATCAAAAAAAATAAAAGGGAGTCCACCAGCTGCTTTTGATGGTAGAAAAAAATGTCAATTATTAATTTTGTTTCTAAGTAGATATCCCTTCAATTATTATAGCTAATGCATTTTTTCAACTGCCATTAGCAACTATTATCACCACCTTTTTTTGCTTTAAGTTTGACATTTTTTCTAGTGTTTGGCCTTCTCCAACAAGCAGACGTTAGGATTTAAACGCAGACTGATCAGGTTTTTGTTTGCAAAAGCAGCTGCTGTAAAGTGGGACTGCGCTCAGAAAGAGACTAATTTGTCTGTCACAGAACAAATGAAAATTGGTAACATTTTTAAGCAGTTTTAATCCAGACACGATTGAAAAAAGTCATTTCAACAGACTTTTTACAGTTTTATTATTTGCCCAAACTATAGACTGGAAACCACTAAAGCATAGAAAAATGAAATGCTAACGGCAGCATCTCACTCTGAGTCTTGTTAGTGATTTAAAACTGCGAGGAAGTAGGCAGATTTTCCAGCGCGGTGTCACTGAACGCTGAATGTTTGCGACCAGGTGACCGGTGAGACGTGCCGCTGCCCTTTGTGAGGCCAGGGTTTGAAAATCACAGCCTGTTTTTGTGTTCATGGCTTGTAAAACTGTTGTGAGCATCAAACCACAGCAGACAAAATGACAGAGTTGGAAAAACTAACAGGAAAGTATTTTTACTTGTTTGCAGATTTGTTATTTGGTCATCAATCACTTAGAGCTGGTTACTGAAAATGTTTTGTTTTATCAACGCTCCTGAAAGTACACACATCATAAAATTTACAACCTTTGTAACTGGATAAGTGTTTGCATGATTTAAAATATCACTACAATAAAAATCTGTCTAAGGTTTTCAGACAGACTAATTAAGTCGGTGTATTTTGGGGTTAAAACTAAGAAAAAGGAAAAAGGACATATTGTTAAAATTTGTCCTCCTAGTGACCCACACTCCTCTGTTGCACTTACAACATGTACACACACTCCTTCACACTTTTTTTAATTGTTTTTTTCTGTCCTGTTCAATGTCGTCATACAAAATGTTTATCGTTGAAGTTTTGTTCAGCTGAAGTAAATGTTTTCATCTATTGTTGAATAAATGACTTTTTATATCAGAAAAGTCATGAAAGGGCAATCGCTTCAGATGTTTTTATATCCAGTAACTAAACAGCATCGAATGCTTTGTTTCTATTTTTGAGTGCTGGTTCTGATTTACGGACAAAGTGGGAAAAGTGATGACCTGGTTCTTCAGGCCTCAATGTATGTGGTTGGTTTTAATTCGAATAAAAGGGTAACAAAAAGATGTGAATCTGTGTCTTCATTGACCTAAAAACTTCACGTCTTGTTTCTCTGCTGCAGCACACCTGTTTCAGTGACTGAAACACCTCTTCAGAATCCTGACCAAGTATTTTTACATACAAGGATTTTGACGGGGTGTTGTTGAGCTGCAGTACAGACGACAAAAACGAGGAGTAAAAAATGTACAAGGTTTAAAAAAGAATGTAAGATATTAAATATGTAAAAATAAAACAAGATAAAATGAGACTATTGACTGAAAAAGGTTAATAAAAAATTGGAGCTATGAAATAGCTGTGAAAAAATAAAAAGAAGTGAATGTTCTTATTATGAAAAACATTCTGTGTAAATGAACGTAACTGCAGTGTGCACTTGTCCAGAGGTGTCAGAAGTATTCACTTTCATTAAGTAGAAGTATAGATACTAGGGTTTAAAATAGTTCTTGGGAAGTAGAAGTATCAAGCTTTTTACTCAAGTAAAAGTAAGTAAGTAAAGTTTTATTTATATAGCGTCTTTCACAGAAATAAATTCACAAGGTGCTGTACATTCAGGGAAGGGGGAGGGGGCAGTTAAGACGGGTCATGCAGCAAACACAGTTGCGCTAAAAGTATAAAAGTACTGGTTTTAAAACTACATAGCATAAAAGTAAAAATAATGAACACTTAAAAAAAGCCATTAAAGATAAAAGCTTAGGCTGTGCCACAGGGTTCTATAGCGCAGCGGTTTCCAACCTTTTCAGACTTGTGCACCCCAATTTGACATACGACTATACCCCCCCCCCCCATAGTGTACTGATTTATTAAATGAAAATTATTAAACCCCCTAGAACGTTTAATTCTCAGACATTTTATTTTTTTCAACTCAAATTAAACAAAGATAAAAATGTTGCCTTGAAAGTGAATAAGTAATTAAACTAGACATGGGTTTTTACAATGTAAAAACAAGTGTGCTTTGCCATGTAGCATGTCATTGCAGCATGGCTTTGCCTGCAGCATTGGACTTGCAGAATGAACTTTGACCAAGTTCAAATGTGCTTTCTAAACCAGCTTGTTCCTGTCACGTCAGCAGGTGTTTGTAATTAAGGTAATTGAGTGACAATATGAAATTTGAAGAGCTAGATTTTTTGTTAAAGTTACGTTAGCTGGGTTTTGACCCCTGATCTCCCACATGAAAGTCCATGACATAGATCATTAGACCAATGGAGCTGTGGCAGAAGGTGGTGGCAGGGGTTGATTTGTATGTGTGCAGAAAGAGGCCACATTGCCAATACAATTATTGACACAAAAATGCATAATATTACAACAATAGAGCAGTATTAAGACAATATTATAGTAAAACATCAAAATACAATAATATTAGTATTGTAAACACTGAACTATTGAGATTAAATATAAAAAACTATGGTGCAGTACCAAGTTGAGTACAGCTGGGGGCAGTATTGAACCATTACAAGGCCCCATTGACTCTCATTATATGAATTTGGAATAAAGTTGAAACATTAATATTTCAAAAACTACAAATTGTACAGGTACCAAAAGGCAAAGCAATCATTTGGCACAGGACATTTACAGACAGAAATTACAACAGCAGCTGTAGGACAATGTAGGCAGGAGCATTGGACTTTCAGAATGAACTTTGACCAAGTTCAAATGTGTTTTCTAAACCAGCTTGTGCCTGTCACGTCAGCAGGTGTTTGTAATTAAGATAATTGAGTGACAATATGAAGTTTAAATAGATTTTTGTTAAAGTTGCAGTAGCTGGATTTGAACCCTGATCTCCCACATGAAAGCCCACAGTGCTCATCATGAGACTATAGGAGATGTGGCAGAGGACAATCCCAGGGATTGGATTGTATGTATACAGAAAAAGTTTACCTTGCCAATGCAGTTATTGACAATTAAATGCAATATACTGTATAACAGCAATAGGACAACATAAAGACAGTATTACAGTAAAACATTAAAATACAATCATATTAATATTGTAATCACTGAACTACTGATTTTAAATATTATAAAACTATGGTGCAGTACCATATTGTGTAGATGCAGCAGGGGGCAGTATTGGACCAATACAAGGCTCCATTGACTCACATTATAATTTATTAAACATTAATATTTCAGAAACTATAAGTTTTACAGGCACCAAAAGGCATAGCCATCATTTGATACAGGGCCTTTACAGATATAAATTACAATGGCAGCTCTAAGACAAAGTATGCAGGAGGAGAAGCATGGCAAAGTTGAGATGACTTGGATGGGAAACGAATCACAATAGTGTGCATTCAATGCACACTGATAAATAAACCAGGTAATGGCAGGTGCAGAAAACAGCAGCATCCAAAATACATCAGAAACTCACCCAAATGAGCAAATACCATATGGTTTCACATTTTATACTGGATCCATTTTGTGTTAATTCCATGATTCCATCTGCAATTTCTGCATTGCTGAAATCATAGGGTCCTACATATCTCAGTCCTATTTTTTTTTAACACGGCTGGGAAATTTTTCCACATACCCCCTGTAAGATGCTCAAGTACCCCAAGGGGTACACGTACCGCTGGTTGGGAATCACTGCTATAGCGTACAACCTCTTCCCCACAATTTTTCTTCTAAAGTCTATAATGAGTATAATGTTTAATTAAAATATTAATGTTGAAATTGTTGGAATTAACTGGCTAGTTGTTTCAGCCATGATCATCTTCATTCTAGACTCCATCTGCTACAGTCTGTCCTGCTGGATGTGATGTGATTTGTGTCATACAGGTGGGATGGACTGAGTTCAATCCAGTAGGATATCAGGATGGTTTATATTTACACTTCTCATCCAACCACAATCATTTTCACTCTATCCAAGGGCTCCGTGTATCTGCACAGATTTCTGTTTATTTATTTCTGAACAATGAAAAGAAGGAATAAAAACAAGTCAAAGTTAAATAGAAATGAAAAACTTTTTGCATTTTTAAAAAGTAAGGAGTAGAAAGTACAGATAATTAAATTAAAATGTAAGGAGTAGAAGTAAAAAGTAAGCTGAAAATTAATTACTCCACTAAAGTATATAAAAAAAACAAACTTTCTACTTAAGTAAAGTATTTGTACTTAGTTACTTGACACCTCTGCTCTTGACAACAGTCCAGTGGTTCCCAAACTTTTTATCTTCTGACCCACAAAATATTCATGGCAAAAACTTGTGACCCCAAATATTACTGGTCTGAGTAGTAGTACACAAACTTTGTTAATAACCCTAAAAACAAAGGCTACACAAATATAAATACTTATTTATACTTATCTTGTGTTTTTGTAATAATTATAGGGAAAATATTACATCACCAATTATTTTATTACCCTTTAAATTGATTTCTGAAGTGCAGTGGTTCCCAAACTTTTCAGCTTTTGACCCACAGAATAACAGTAGCAGAGACCTGTGTCCCCAACTATTTTTGGATGATAAACATTTGCATCAGGTCAACTAAACATGGGAATAGTAATAATATTTATTATTCCATATTTATACATTTTAGGCAGCTAAGGCAAAAAATATAATTAATTTAGAAAATCTTTTCAGGACCCCAACTTGATGTTTCAGGACCCCACTTTGGGTCCCGACCCCAACTTTGGGAACCACTGCTTTAGTGCATCAAGTTCTAGAGAAGCTAATCACCCTTTCATCCAAATCAGGTGTGTCAGAGCAGAGGAACCTCTAAATCAGGGGTGTCGAACTCATTTTCATCGAGCGCCCCATGAGCAGTTGGCCATCTATCGCTGTAATTACCTTCAACTAAAACATCACGCTCCTCGTCTATGAATGAGCACAGCTAACAAACAATAACTGCTCTACGTGGTATTTCCTGCAGAGAAACACCATTTAACACATCCTCTTATAAACACTGAAAAGAACTACAACTTAAGTGTGAAATAAATAATATGAAACACTTAAAAGTAAGAGTTTTGTTCACTGTTGAGTTGTGATTAGTAGCTGCAGCCTGGAATTAAAAACTCTCCCACTTTCTGACTGGGAGTTTTCCACTGTTCCAGTTTAAATTGATGACCTATGTGGGAAATCCCCACTTCCTAGTGCAACTGGGCAAAAGTAGCTGGTGGGAATGTAGTGAAATTAATACATCTCTGAAGCTCTCGCGGGCCGTAAAATGCTGTGGGGGGCCACATTGAATTTGACTCATCCTCTAAACCAGAGGTTCTCAATCTGGGGTCCGCGAGAGGTATCTTGGGGGTCCTCAAAAATTTTTACTTTAATGTTAATTAGATTTTTGTTTTTAAAAATGCATGGAGAACAATGAACTAATAAAACAAACAGAATAAACTTAATAAAATATGTATTCCCATAGCATTTAAGTAAGCAAAGTTTTATTTATATAGCGCCTTTCACAGAAATAAATTCACAAGGTTCTGTACATTGAGGGATTTAAGAGTTGAAATGACAATAAATTATCTTTTATGAGGGGGTCCCTGGAATGTTTTTCACCCTTCTAAGGGGTCCCCAGACCCAAATGGCTTGAGAGGCCCTGCTCTAAACCAGTGGTTCCCAACAATTTTAGACTTGTGTACCCCCTGAGCCATTTTGTCGTACCACTACCCCATCTGTCAAACGTAATGATGATTCTCCAAAACTATAATGTACAACAACTGATTATTAAATGTATTTATACTCCTATATAACATTTAATTCTCAGGCATTTTATTATTTTCAACTCAAATTAAATATAAACATAAATACGGTGCCTTGAAAGTGAATTAAACTAGGTAATAGCAGGTTCAGGAAGCAGCAGCGTTCAAAAATACATCAAATAACCCAAATGAGCAAAATCTGACATTCTGCATTTTATACTGGTTTCCATTTTGTGTCAATTTTGTGATTCTGTTTGCATTTTCTGCATTGTGGCAATCATAGGGCCCTACATATCTGTCCTATTATTA